ATATCAGTGACAAGAAAGTGACTTCACTTGGCTGGTTCATGTATCTGCATAGCGGAGAGCTGACTCTCAGAATACAGGGTTTTGAGCAGCAAAAAAACATCTATAATTGAAACATTTATACGTTTTATCCAGCTGGGGAACTTTCTCACCAGAGCACTACATCTCCAAGGCAACAGGAGATGCCCTGTGGGTGTACTGGAGATGTACTGTAGGTAGCAGCCCCCATGTAGTGCAGTGCAAGATTAAGATTGTCTTAAATATTTGTATGGATTTTTATTTTTGACTAATAACTTTTTGACCAATAATGTTTTGACTAATCATTTCTTGACTAATATTTTTGTGACCAATGATTTTTTGTCCAATGATTATTTGACTAATTATTTGTTTAATAAAGCCCCCGCTGAAAGATCAAGGCTCCTGTGGACTCTCTGCCTGCAGGAGGATCAGTGAGGGGCTGGTGCTCTGTGAATTTGGTGCAGCTCTGATTGCCACCCCTCTAACCCAGAAATGGATTAAGGGGAAGAAAATGGATGGATGAATTTTTTGACTAATCATTTTTTTGACTATGAGTTGCAACACTGAAATGAACAGGGTTTTCTCATCTTACAAATCACATCGTCTGTTTGCTGATAAAACCTACTGCTGATACACATAACTTGCTACTTCTTTCGATGCAGCCCTGTGACTTGTATGAAATTTTGATTCTTTACCGTCCGGTCAAAAACACAATCATGGCTCTCTACAGCTTCACGCCGCTCTCACGTCTCTATTATCGTCACCAATCATCGTCTGTTCACCGCATTGTAACACTTTATCCTCCTGCACCGCTGCATCTGCCCCTCCTCGGCCCCTCCTCGGCCCGTGCCTCTTCCTGTTCCAGATCTCTCAACATGGGGCCTTCGCTCTGACTTTACCGAGCGCAGATGAGACGCTGTGTTTTTCAACTGGATTCCTCCCAAAACAATTCTTCCGTGGGCCTTTTTTTGGGAAAAGAAGTGAATAGCAGGCGCGCTCTAAATGAGGATTTGTTTATGCAGACAGCTGTTCTTTTTGCCCGCAGTGCTGAAAAGCCTCTCCCCGTTCACATAGACACGAGATTAGCATCAACCCGACATAATGAACTTTACACTCTGTTGAAGGCCCACCGGGTTACTCCAACAAGTTAGCCTTATGTAAGAGCACAGTTTATATAAAGGCTCTGTAAAAATACAGAGAATGACCTTTGTGGACTCTTCAGTCTGTGTCATGGGTGTCAAAGTCAAGACTCAAATGAATTATCTTGAACAGTCTTGAATTATGTTTGATTAGTATAAGAACCGGCCACAACGAGCCATACAAAAATATTGGATTATTCATTTAATGTTATAATGTTAGGTCTTGGTTCAATAGGATATGCCCACAAAATTCCATCCATCCATCTTCTTCCCCTTAATCCATTTCTGGGTTGGGGGGTTGGCAGTCAGAGCTGCCCCCAATTCACAGAGCACCAGCCCCTCGCTGATCCTCCTGCAGGTGGTGAGTCCACAGCAGCTTTGATCTTTCAGTGGGTGCTTCAGACATAGTGGGGTTAAGTGTCTTGCCCAAGGACACAACGACATCAGACATCAGTGGGAGTTGTGAAGTAGGTTTTGTGGTGGGCTCGAACTCACAACCTTCCGGCCCATAGGCCCATAGGGCCATAGGCCAACTAAGCCACTGTCGCCCCATGCAATAATTTCTGCTAAAACTGACTTGATAGCCTCAGCTACGCGTCCGTCCTCCTGCGTAGCCATGTTTGTTTTGCTTCGGCCCGGCACTTCTTGCTTTCGTCAAACCCAGATACCCCGCCCTAAACCCCCAGACTGGCACGTGATTGGCTTGAACACCTAGATGTTCTACTCAAAAAGGGTTGGCGGGAGCGGGGCAAGATGTATTCTCTAGTGTTTGTGAACTCACAAACACCACGAGAATTTAGCTTGCAGGCAAGGTTACTGGATGGGATGAAACCGCAGCATGTATAGTCTTACAGTCTGAATTTGCGCTTAAGCTTCAAAAAAGTGAGAACCCTCGGGGAGAAGGGGGATCTTCTACCACGAACCGACGGGCTATAGATCCAGGACTCAGGCTGTAGAACGAGGACCCAGGCTGGGGGGATTAGCACTTACCTTGTTACCACTAGTGCAGTATCACTCATAATCACTACTTTACTTGGTCATGTAGCTTTTACTTGGTTTTACTGTTAATGAAGGACTTGCAACTTACTTACAAGAAACATTGAATGAGAACCTCAACACTGACGGAAACTCCAATTAGCTTGTTGGTTTAAAATCTCTTGGTGCATGAAACGATTGTCCTCCAAGTGTTCCTCAGCAGCGTGTCCTCTGCTGTTCTTCTCTGCGTCGGCCTGGGCTGCTTCTCTTCTTGTTAAGTGTTATATTAGCGGTGGCCAAGATAGACTGAGCGGAGCGTAACATTGCTTATTGACCTGCTGATTAAGCACTGGCCATTATAGCAGGGATCTAAACGTACCTGACCGGTCCTGAAAGCAAAATGAGAGAGAAGGAGAGTTGGAGAGTTGGCATGTTTTTTATATTATCATTATTACCATTATTTATATTATTTAACTCATGTGTTATCTGAATTTTGATGATTTTTTCCTTACTTGATCAGCCCTGTATCAGACTCTTTTATACCGTAATTTATAGTATTTTTCTTAAATTTTTAATCACTGCACTGGGGACCTCAGGAGGACAGCATAAGTCTCTCACCATTGGCTTTGTCCGTTTCATGGTCAGGTGGATTGTCTTTTGTTTACTGAGACAAACAAAAGCCAAAACACTCATCGATGTGGGGTCAAGATGGCAGCGACTGAATTAGAAAACCCACATGTGAAGCAGATTTCTAAATAAAGGTGTGAAGGTGAGATTTGGCTTGGAAAACCCAGAAAAACTTATACCATTCATTTCAGTGTGGTAAAACTAAATTCAGGTTGTCAAAGAAGTGAGAGGGATGACTGGAATACAGAACCTGATATGTACTTACAATGTGATGTAGCAATTTCAGATAAAAAAAAAAAATAGAAAAAAAATCCATTCTTTCCCAGGGCCACCTTAATCGATTGGTCCTTGTGCTTTTCTGGATTGTCCCCCGTCCCCCCAACCTAAAATCCTACAAAAAGTGCATGTATCAAAAAAAGTTAAATAAAATCTTGCAGTGTGTATCTCAATTGTTGATGCAAAAAACTACTCAACTCAAACATACATGGTTAAAGCCTGCTGACGGATACAGTATGTGTGTCATATTTGTCAATGTATTCTTTAATTTAATATATATAAATTTAAATATTTGATGATTCCTGAAAGTCGGAAAAAAAAATGGTCTTCTCAAGTCTGGTTTTTAATTGTCTTTTTCTTAAACATCATGTTCCAAGAAGATGTGTTACGCAGATTCAGGCTTGATCTCATTGTCTCATTACAGAGGACTCGACCCAAAACATTTACATACTTTTCTATGTTTGATTATTTTAAGCACATAATAATGACTCCATAGATGTATTTATTTTTGGTAAAAGATACTCTTATGTGTCTAATATAAATACTGCTGAGATTTGTATGTCAGTCATAGTTGTACATAGGTTGAGATCCGAATTGTAAATGAATTAGTGGAGCAGCTTCACATGAAAATACTGAATTGTACTTTAGCGTAGTTTAAATCCTGCAGCTACCACTCCCTGCTCAGACTTCATTCATGGTTTCATTCTGCCGTCACTGGCACCAAGTCCACTCCAGTTCTAGTCTCTGGCTGGGGTCCATATCTGAATCTACATCCAAGAAATGAGTTTGTGAATGTGAAAGACCAGTGGACCTGGCAGAAGCCCTGTACTTCCCTGTCCCCTAAGAACACCAGCCACATGATCTCATTAGTTACTGCATATTAGGACCATTTTATTCTAGAAAGTTCCAGATTGTAACACTTGTTAACACTGAAGTTAACTGTAGTTTCCACAACAGGAGCATTAACCACCACTGTTAGACCAGCACCTTATCATACACATATCCATCATATTTGTGCCTGAGAATTTGGGAACATTTGCTGACATAATGAGCATAGAAATAGCGTAATTACTAAGCAGTAAACGCAGTTCTTTAGTTATCTTGAAATCTAGGACAAATGTAAGAATTTGTCCCTCGGTGCAGTTACAGAACAGTGGGAATTAAAGAAGGGCCCAAGCAAGATATTACTGCTATGTATTTATAATAATAATGAAAATATGTATCCAGTTATTTACTTCTATATTTCTGTATTCATTCTATATTTAGATTATGAAATATATGTTTACTATCTCAGTAGTATAATAAAACGGTTTAGTGAATATGGAGAAGCTCTGTATTCATTCCCAATCATTCTCTACTATTTGAGCATCACAGTTGAACAATACAGGACTAGCTAAATACTATTTCATATTAGCATTCAGAGACAATCAACACTGCTACTAAAAGATTACAATTATTCAAAATATTGGCTCTTTTCACACAAAAACTGACTGGTATTTCTTTCTCTATCTCAGGATCAGAGGGAAAGTGGGAGTTTTCATGATACAAATATGCAGTGGGTGGGTGGCTACTATTAGCACTTACAGTATATTGTAATTACAAATATTTACAATTCTAATAATACTGTGGCTGTATTATTGATCTATAACCTCAGGAGTACAGGACGTTGTGGAAAAGCCTCAAGTGCAGCTGTAAAGTCAAACAGCAGCCAGAAGATCCTGCTTTGTGAGCTCAAATAGCTGATGTGAGTCACGTGACGAGAGCTTTTCCTTTAAATGTAAGTAGGTGCTTTGTCAGTTTAAAGCCCTTTTATAATACTGGGTCTTTCTGTAGCTTCTAATGCAGACTATTCTGATAAAAGGAAACAGGAAGTAGTGTGTGTTTGGTTTTCATCTGAGCCCTAACATTACATCCTGCTCTGTAGGAACTGGAAAGGTTTTGCATGAGAATCTGAATAAAAACGTTACTTCACAGAGATGTAGGAGCAAAGTGATCCAGGACAGAGCTGCTGTGAGGGTTAGGGTCCAGGACAGAGCTGCTGTGAGGGTTAGGATCCAGGACAGAGCTGCTGTGAGGGTTAGGATCCAGGACAGAGCTGCTGTGAGGGTTAGGGTCCAGGACAGAGCTGCTGTGAGGGTTAGGGTCCAGGACAGAGCTGCTGTGAGGGTTAGGATCCAGGACAGAGCTGCTGTGAGGGTTAGGATCCAGGACAGAGCTGCTGTGAGGGTTAGGGTCCAGGACAGAGCTGCTGTGAGGGTTAGGATCCAGGACAGAGCTGCTGTGAGGGTTAGGGTCCAGGACAGAGTTGCTGTGAGGGTTAGGATCCAGGACAGAGCTGCTGTGAGGGTTAGGATCCAGGACAGAGCTGCTGTGAGGGTTAGGGTCCAGGACAGAGCTGCTGTGAGGGTTAGGGTCCAGGACAGAGCTGCTGTGAGGGTTAGGATCCAGGACAGAGCTGCTGTGAGGGTTAGGATCCAGGACAGAGCTGCTGTGAGGGTTAGGGTCCAGGACAGAGCTGCTGTGAGGGTTAGGGTCCAGGACAGAGCTGCTGTGAGGGTTAGGGTCCAGGACAGAGCTGCTGTGAGGGTTAGGGTCCAGGACAGAGCTGCTGTGAGGGTTAGGATCCAGGAATGGATGTAGTGAAGCCTATATCTGCCGTTGAAACTTATGTGTGATCACTTTTCCCTCCTGCCGACGTTTTTCAAAATGGCCTTGAGTGGCCCCTCTCGCAAGAAAATGTGAAAAAACGCATTCGCACATGCATTAGCCGAGCCCCATTCATTTAACGAGTGCCTTCAAAAGTCCACAGCAGCTAAACTAGGCTGGTCGAAAAAAATATTCTCCCCTCAGCATTGACACACATCTGGAACCAAGAACTGACTTTTGGACCATCCTTTAAAGCTGTTTTCGAGAGGAAAAAAGGCGCCATAATAATGCATGGGATAATTCTGTTTCTGGGTACACCCCCACCAGCATGGAGCCAGATTACACGCCAAATGTGACATGTACATTTCTCCATTATGAGATCATTAAAGTTTATGTCAGCGTACATGCTCCAGGACAAGGCTTGGCTGGCCCCTGACAACTCCCTGTCTTTCTGTCCAGTTGCTGCTTCACTCCGTCTGCACCAGCCCACACTTGCCCCCCCAGAAAAAGTCCCTACGGCCATGTATATATATATATATAAATAAACACATATGCACACATATACACGTACACATATATCTCTCTAATTCTGCTTGAGGAAAGTTTAAATGTGCTTCTTTTCAATCAGTAAACTAACCATTTGAGGTACAACAAATGGTCTGTGTTTTCTCATTACTCATATTGACTGGGTCTGTATTACGAGTACAAAAACCATCTGCGCTATGGCCGTAATCGACTACAAACATACCATATCATCAAATGCTTTTACCTTGCGTTTCCAGCCCGTAAGCGCCTGCTCTACGCTACAGGGCGAGTGTTGAATTAATGCGGATGGGAAAGTGAAGGTGATGCTTGCCTCCCCACATCTTTTTGCCCATTCGCCTCCCTCATAATTTCCCCTTGCTGAGTCTCCAAACCGCGGGAATTGCTCTGGGCTTGCTGCTGAGCCGGCTAATGGATATCTACTGCCGGCGTGTAGCGTAGATAGGATTTTAGCCCATTGTATATAGTGTTAGGTAAATCCTCATTACAGATAGCTGTCGTCCGCTATGACACTGGAGGAAAAGCGCTGAGTAAAAATAGGGTTGTGTTGAATTAGAGGTGTGTGCGTTCTGGCTTTGTGTGCGTTAAATTGAGCAGCAAGAAAAGGACATAGTGATCTGCTGCGGGTTATTAGCGCAGTGAGATTTTTTCAATTCAAATTATATTGTAAGCATTGTGAGCCATTTGCCAAGGTTAAGGAGTGCAAGACCTTCATATGAGCTGTCTTTATGTACCAGGCAGGTCAAACGCTGGCTCGTGGGCCAAATCCGGCCCGCAAGTCAATTCTTAGTGGCCCCAGATATGATTTCTATTATTATTAAAGGTATATAGACGGATTTCAAATTTTTCGGAAAAAAACGCCCTTTCTACTTTTTGAACAAAACTCTGGTCGAGCACGTATCAGAATGATTGACAATTGGGAGGACCAATAGTCTTGATGATCCACCCGGAAGTAGAGAATCCTCCTATATACCTTTAACCTGCAGCTTTCATGGTAATGGGCTAACAAGGCATGTTTTACATCTATTTTCTCAGGAAAATAACCAAATGTTATTTATCGTAACATTTTAGCCCAACACATCATTAGTAAGAATTTAAATAATTAAATCTGAAACAATATGTTTAACTTTGTATTTGGTCCAGTTTTGGTTAAATCTAAACAATGAACACATTTTGTTTTCAGAAAATCCAATTAGAAAATAATAGTGAAATTATGTCACATTAACTCAATTAAATTAAAAACTCCTTCTATTCCATCGGCTCCCGACCAGTTCCTTCTTTTTTTATTCACCCCAAATTAAGTCTGTTATATACCACTGTGTTATGGTCAGAGGCTGTGACAAATATTTGAACTCTGAACATTGTAAAACATTTTGGGTGACTTTGGTCTGTAAACTGTGGTATATAAATAAACATTACTTACTTACTATTAACATTACTGTGATATTTAGAGTAACCATAAGGTAGAAGTCAGGGATGCACGATTTTGGCACATTTTTTGAATTGATGTGGATAGAAGAAGGACCACGAGACATTGAAAATTCAATTCAAGTATTTTTATTTTTTAAAGGAGCTCAAAAATCGTCCCTCTCCATCCTCCACACACTGCACTTCACAAATCCTAATTCATACATTCATCATTTATCAAACTTGACTACAATAGTGTCTTAGACAGACCTTTTAGCCCTTTTAGCCTTTTTAGCTGTCGTATTAGCCCATATCGCATGTTTTAGAAATGGAAGAAGCCAGAGTAATGCTCCAACTTCCAACAGTGCTTTTTAAGTGTGTCATTGTCGAAGCTCTGGAGTCCAGAGGGAATTTTGTTCGGCCAAAAGCCTCGGCGCCAGGACTCATGCATCTCTGGCTACCCACTTTCTCCAGGGCATCTGACATTGTGGGTCTGTAGATTGAGGCCACTTTATAATATTTGTCTTAGCTCTGTTTGGTTAAATGCATGATGAGCTACTGCTCTGTGTTATCAGCAGTGTTTTTAAATGACTTACTTATTACTTAGATTGACAACTAGGCCCTGGTGGTTATTCTTGGGTTTCATTAAACTGGCCAGTAGGGGGCGAATGAGCAGAGGTGGAACAACTCAGTTTTGCTCCCATTGAAAACAATGTAAAGTCTGTTTTGGAGTCAAAAGGCTCACATCCTGTGCGGTGTACGGTTGTTGTAATAGTCTTAATCGGGGACACTGAATTTTAAGGGAGTACTAAAAAATATTTCTCAAAAGAGTCTTGATTTGGGGCATTTTTGGGAAAAAAAAACAGAAGAAATTGCTGAGTTTCATTCAGGTGGCCTGCAGGGGGCGCTTATCTGGGAAAGCCTTGATCCACCTCGCCTCATTCAAGTGATTTTTTCAAAGTGTCCTCCTTTATATGAGACCACAGTTGGAACACGGAAGAAACCCTTGTCTTTCTCTCTATTCGCGCGGTTGCTACAAGCGTACACCGCACAAAAAGATGGCATTTTGACAGCGCTTCTTCTTCTACTTACGTATATAAACCCGGCAGACTGCCCCGCCAGGGTACGTCACGTCCTGTCCCACGTTTGTTATTCGCGCCACTGCCCTGACGTCATATGAAACCCAAGAATAGTTATTATCACATTATGCAATATTTACAGTCTATGGGTTTTACTTAAAGGTGCCATTTTTGTAGTTGGTTCTACTAAACATAATGTGTACAACTATATAATTGATTATCATTTCTAAATCTATTATTACTATTATTTCAAATTTAATATAATCATGAACAATCAGATTTACTATATTTCTTCACCTTCAACTATTTTGTTTAGTTAAATTTGCATGTGCACATTATTTAAACTAAGCATGTTTTGTCTTTTACAACATGTTTATGTGGGTTACAGCCTGAGGGAAGTCTTCCTTCTACTCCCTCCTGAATGAACTGTTGTTAGTTTTACCTGCCTTTTCTACTTGACCCAAAATGATTCTTTACCAGGTTTAGTAAAAAGTAAATCTAAATGCATGTAAAGTGTATCTTTTTGTGGACCTGCCTTTGTGTCAGTGTCTCCCAGCCCTAACTCTACACAGAAGCTGCTTTAGTTTGACCTCGGTCCTCGTTCTACAGCCTGAGTCCTGGATCGATTGGCCGTCCGTCCGTGGTAATGGATTGTGGGTCTCCCCGACATTTTTTACTTTTCTCCCACTGGGCTTTAGAGTGATTTCTTGCCGATGGAAGGAGGGTCTAAGGACAGCGGTGATGATCCTGGACATTCATTTATGGACTTTATCAACATTAAAGAAACTTGGTCATACACGCCTAATGGACCAATGGCTCTTTGTGTTTTTATTATTGCAGTTCCTGTTTTTGAACTTGTTGATTCTCTGGCTGTTATGCGTTTTGATGACGGGTATTGTAGAGTTTTGATTATTTTTTCTATTTTTTTTTATTGTATTGTTGTGTGTGTTTGAATGACTGGGTGAGGATTGGACTAAAATACGCTTTTTTGCTTCGACCAGTCCCTTTACAAACCATGCATCATATTTTGCTTGTGCATGTTTGAAATAAATAACAAATGGTAAAATATAAATAAATGATCAGTGTGGGCGACTTTGACGGTTTTGTAAGGTCGTCTGAGATAACTACTGTTGTGATTTAGGGCTACACTAAACTGAATTGTTTATAAATCTCTTCTTACAGACAGAGTTACATACAAGGTAGCTACACTTAAGCTAAAGCTAAATACACACTTAACCATAGCATGTTTCATCATCTCTCGTCTGTTCTCTTCCTCAGGATCCACCCGAGCCCTACGGCCGGCTCTGGAGCGTCATCAAATCACGGAAAAGGAAAACCATCACTGCGCCGCATCAAGGGCCGCGTCCACCGCAGCAAGAGCCTGGACAGCATTGACCTGCTGGACTCTAACGTGAGTACTTTACTGCCCAAAACAAACTCTACCAGCGAGATACGATTGCTATGGAGACGATGGACAGCCCCAGGTCCACACCACACGCACTGCAAAAATACTGTTGGTTTCACTGGTTTACTTTTTTACACTCAGGCTTTCAACTGTTTTCAGACTCAAATGTGACAGAGATCCACTATAGTACTCTTTGACTCTCTGCTTAGAACATTACGAGGCGATATCAGTGCAAAATCCTGGCTATACCTGCATGTGAAAGCCAGATCCTGTCAGAACTCCGAAGCTAAGCAGGGCAGGGCCTGGTTAGTACTGTGGTGGGAGACCTCTGGGAACATGAGGTGTCACAGTGTAGCAGCTGTGGTTGTAAAGTGCCATACTATTGTTGTGTCCTTAGGCAAGACACTTTACCCACATTGCCTAGAATGAGTCTGGTGTGTGTGTGTGAATGGTTGGGGGTAGTCGGAGGGGCCGGTACATACTGGTTGCCTCGCTTCTGTCAGTGTGCGCCAGGGCAGCTGTGGCTACGGTAGCAGTTTATCATCATGAATAATGCCATGAGAAGCTGCTTTGAGTGTCCAAAATATAAAAACATATGCATTATTAAAATGTTAATTCTTTCATATTTTTTTAGATTTGGAGAGAATAACTTTCTTGCTCAACTTCTAACAGTTAAAGTTCACAGTGACAGCAGAGATGCAGTGTCTCAGCAGAAAGCAGCTGACGTTGTTTTGATGCTATTGAAAATCTGTGACAATGTTTGGGAAATGAGTTAGATCGGGAACAGTTGAACATTTATTGACCAATATCAGGAACATTACATTTTTATATTCTTACGGGTACAAAGTTGTTCTGTAATTACCCCTGCATAAACAAACAGTACATAAGACAATTGGACCCATCTAGTTTAGGAGTGAAAGCTGAATTGGTTCATATCAGGTATTGTCAGATATTGAAAGCCAAACATCGATATTGGACATGGGTCATGGGGTGATTGTTAGAAGCTATGCAATTATTATAGAATTCTGTTTGATTAATAAACACAAGCATTTTAATATAAGTCAGGTCAGACAACGATACATGGAAGAAGCAACAAAGAAGCAGCATATGTTTTGTTCTGATGCAGAATGATCTCTACTTTTAATATTGAAATGTGGTGGGGGCGACAGTGGCTCAATGATGGTAGGTGACGTTTGCTGTTGTTGTGTCCTTGGGCAAGACACTTAAACCCACAGCCGTCCTCCTGTGGACTCAGGAGGACGGCTCCCGCTGGATCAGTGAGGGGCTGGGGCTCTGCGAATCGGGTACAGCTCTGACTGCCACCCCTGGGGAAGAAAATGGATGGATGGATGTAGTGGGGGTCACAGTCGAAATTGTGCTCATTTTGTGGGTCCCGCGTTAAAAAAGTTTGTAAATCCCTGGTATTTAACCGATATTTTGTTTTGAGAGAGCTGTCCTTGCTACAAATACATTCTTCCATGCCTCCCATATTGAACCATCAATCAATCTGTATTTGTAGAGCGCCTTTTGCTACACGCAGCAACACAAAGCGCTTCACAGTCACATCACACAAGGCGCAAATCGTCACATAACACAAAAACCAAAATCACCATAAAAATCACACAAGGGATTAAGATAATAAATAACAGCAATGCATTCAAAAGACATAAAATCCCTCAGTTGTGTGCAGAGCTAAACAGAGCTGTCTTTAACCTGGATTTGAACATTTTCTAAGTAGACGCCTGTCTCACATTTTCAGGAAGACTGTTCCAGATTATAGCTGCCTACATTTTATATGTAGCCTCCCCCTTTTTAGTCTTGACTGTGGGCACCAGCAGGAGGCCAGACCCTGTGCTCCTCAGAGTCCTTGGTTCATATGCCACTAATGTCTTAGATGTCCGAGATGTTCTTTGGTGCAAGGCCATAGAGATACCTAATGAATGTATTTTTGTTTTTTTAGATTTCCTAAGATTTACACTGATAACAATTGTTTTAATTCATATTTTATTTAATTATTGGCCTTTACCATGTGGTTGAGATTCAGTTTGACCAAGTGAGATTCCCTATAGAGTTATATGTCAGTCCCAAGCTAAAAGTAGATATAATGTCTACTCTAGTCTATTCTCCATGCCACAATTCTGCCATTATTGTCTCGCAAAAATAAAAAAATCTGTGCATTCCCATCGTCTCCACGCCGCAAACCACACACCAGGCCCCGACGCTCACACTATACCTTACATCTAAGAATAAGACGTCACGAGAATCTCCTGTATTGAATAATAGAAGACACTTTTTACAGTTAAAGTGCTATTCCCGAGGAGATAACCAACAAACAAACCAGCCGTGAGCAATAACCTGACAAGAAGAATCAAAACACTTTATGGAAGCGGAAACGGATCTTTGCTCAAGCACAAAATCCCAGTGGCCCTTCAGAACGGCTCCGAGCGCAACGAAACATAAAAACTGGAACCACGGCAGAGGACGAAGAGACGCCGTGTTTTTGATGAATAGTACAATAACAGTATTTGAACATAAAGGACGTCATCGTTATCCCGGAATGATCCCGTTAGCAGCTTTTTCTTGGCTGCTCAGTCTGTCGCTGCGCTGAGATAAGGTTAGGCTGAAAAGGAAAATACGACCAGGATTTACTTAAGCTGTCTGTGCGTGGTGAGGCAAGTTTTTTTGTATAGCACGGTTCATACACAAGGCATCTCAAAGTGGGAAACAAAACCAGATCGAAAACAATCATACAAGGTTTTATAATCATTAATGAAAACTACTGTATTAAAAAGAGTGATGATAAAATCCCTAAATAAAAGAACTGTTTTTAACCTTGATTTGAATATTGTCAGAGAAGAAGAATCCTGTCTCATGTTTTTAGGAAGACTGCTCCAGATTTTTGCTGCATGAATCTGAAATTCTGTAGTTTTTATTCAGATTCAGATTCATTTTATTGCCATTTGCAGTAACACTACATTGGAATACATTTGTAAAAGTTCCCAGTGTGCACAGGACAAGTACAGACACAAAACAGCATTAAAAGACAAAAATAAAACAAATTTTAAAAACAGTAAACAAATGTCACCGTGAAGTTGACCAACTTAAAACAGATCTAGACAAGTGCAAAAAACATTAAAGTGCCCTATTCAAACTGTTAACAGCTCGTTATTGAGTGACTGCACATGCTTATGCCAGGGCCCAGACCAGGATTTACAGCCAGACCGGCCTTGTCTACTTGACAGCCAGACTAGGATGTCAAGAAGGACTCAGACCAGGACTCAGACCAGGACCAAAACTCAGAACAGGACTAGCACCCAGACCAGGAGCAGCACTTGAACGTAGACCAGGCCTCAGACCCAGACCAGGACCAGGACACAAACCAGGATTAGGACTCAGACCATAACTCATAAAGTAAACATTTTAGATTATTTTTAGCAGATCTTCATATGTTCATAATGGTGCAACTCTTCACATGACTTTGATACTACTTCCATTTAAGTATTTTGCAGTATTTCAAGTTTTAGTAGCGTCCGATTTTTTCTGTTTTCATGTTTGTCTTGTTTATAAATGATACGTTTTTAGCATGTGCACTGTTGCAATGTGTTGTACTTTCAATGGATCCATTCATTTCAATGGGATTTCTTATTTTCATGAGGTTCAAAGGTTACGTATGTCTTGATGTGCAAAGGCTTCAGCCAGTGGGCCATTTCTATTTTGTTTTATAGTAATATTTATATCTACAAATAAATACACATTGGGGTTGTGCTACAAAATTTAGTTTTAGATATATATATACATATATTTCTATTTAGTTAAATAGTTTTTATTATAGATTTTATTTATTTACTATCTTTATCCGATATAGAAAAACATATATATTTATTTTTGTTTAGATATTTTGACTTGAATCGAAAGTTCCTAGCTTCGACACCCAGCACTAATTTTATATTATTCATTTGATTAATTATGTTTTTGTCTTATTTTCTGCAGCAAACTTTGTGTTCATGAAATATGTATAAATAAAGTGCATTGGATATATTATGGCTTAAAAGCATGGTATAAAATGGGGATGTTGGTTCATACTAGTCTTGTATCAAAATGATCCATTACAGAGTTTTAGAGGATTTGTCTAAGCCGTAGAATTTAGTGTGAGATTTACTGAGCACTTGTAAAAGAGGAGCTAATATAGAGGGATGTTTTCTCCCAAGATGGTTCATGTCCACCCTGCCCTCTCGCTGCTGTATTTCAGATTAACCTCAGGCGGTTTGAGACTTCCTGGTGCTGCTTAAGCGTCAAATTGACAGTTTTTAGCCCATGGTTGCAGTGATGACTTATTATTACATAACGTCGCACACTTTGACACGATTTCTTCCCACTCCACTGCTGATGTCAGGTCAAAAAAGTGCTTGAAATATGTTTTTAGAATTGGTTATGAAAAAAGCACATTACACAATAATTGGTCCAAAGTGTGGGTAATAAGTTTTTTAAATACATTTTAGATAATCACTGCTGTATGATTACCCAGAATGCAGTAACCATTTTACAGTGAGGTTTCTTGATTTTTTTGCAGCATGAAAATTTGTGTCCACAGCATACTGCAGGTTGTGGGTTCATATCGCCCTTTTGAAGCTTTGTAATGGCGTCTGTGGATAATGTAGTGCCCACTCTTCGTACAGAGTAGCAACTAAATCTGTTCTCCGTCATGTTAAAGCTGGGGTACCTAACTTTCAAACTACAACAAATCATGTTATTAAATCCACAGAGCTCCTCACTCACACAATATTTTACTTCCATCTCTCTCTCTATATATATATATCAGCTTTTTTAGACAGAAACTTGAAAAATAGAGGAGCCTTTTCACTCAGCCAATCAGCTTTCATCTGGTTTCATTGAGCTGTTTTCCAAATAAAAACAATTCCATATGTTTCAAGTACATTAACTTATATTCATTTTGTGAAAAGATGGAATTAAGGAGTTGAAATAGAAACAGAAAATACACAATAAAG